TGTCTAACCTGCTACATTCCAAGCCTGTTTTCTCTATGTGTCCTCTAGCACTGGTGGTACGACCAAGATTCAAGCGATGGAGTGGGTTCCCAGGGGTTCCCATGATTTTGTGAGCCGTTATGAAGTGCCCAACTAGTCTTCTATATCCAAGACAATATACACCAAGGGTAACCAGTCGCTCATCGTATGTTTTAGGCTTACGTCCTCGATTATACTTATTCTAGTGCCTTTGGGTGCGTTCTAAGCTTAATTTGTTCCCATACGCAGAAGTGGGGTAGACGATAGTCCTGAACTTCAGGTGAGGCTGTATGAAGTTGTTGAAAACTTGGCGAAAACGTCTACGATTAGATTGTCCGAAAATTAGGGCAAGGGTTTTTAACGCCGCGAAATGTGTTTCTATCATAGTTGGCATACGACTTTAAATTTCGAGGCGTTAAAATGCCCGAATCCTTTCCGGTCGGTGACACTTCAAGTTCCATGCCGTTGGGTCTGTATGTTTGGTACGGATCATGTTCCGTGCCCAACACCTTGCCTTTTTCAGGGTTAAATGTTAGCTCCTGCTGTGTAACTAAAGGATTATTTTCTGATATTTGTGACCAGCAACATGCAAATAATTGCACCTTCTGGAAGACCATGTGCAGTGTGACGACATATTCTCGTTAAATTTTCTCTGCCTCACAGGGAGCGGTAACATTCAGATATCGCCTGCAAAAACGGCATGTGGTCGCATTCTTTGTTGTTCGAAATATATAAGCATTATTATTAAAATGGGCACTCCCGCATTACTAGGTTACCCACTGCAGTAAAGAGGTGGGCCAGTATTGTCGGCCGTCGAGGTCGAATTGATGCTATTCATCTAGACTTTGCTAAGGCGTGCGATCGTGGTAATCGTGACAGCCCTAATGATATAATTGTAAAACTCGGGCACTGTAGTAGAATTCGATTCCGTATTAGATTCGGTCATTTGGCCTAAAACAGTGGTATAGTATTATTTACTTGGTGAGATTCGGGACATAAATTATGGCTCATAATCATATCAATATAGTCACACTACTTTAGACATCAGGTTTTTTTTGTGGTCCAGTCACCTCATTTTATTTGTTTTTATCGGTGGTAAAATTTTAAATATCAACGGCATAGGTGTTGTGTTGTTCATATTACATATGCTGGGTGCTGATTCGAGGGACGGAGGCTCAGTAATCAATCTCTCTCCATTTGCTTATATTGAGCTTAAGTACACTGATCTTGTGTGTTAGTACGTGCATCGCAATAGCCAAGTTTTTTCCAGACTACCGGCCTTATTCGGGTCTGTTTGACCAAAATCCTATGTTCCACCATTCTGACTCTGGTCCGCTAGTTTGATCTGTGTAGCTGACCTCGCACTCACTATATGGAATTTGGTAGATTAGGCTATTTTGCCTTATAGGTCCTATCAAATTCCATATAGTGAGTGCGAGGTCAGCTACACAGATCAAACTAGCGGACCAGAGTCAGAATGGTGGAACATAGGATTTTGGTCAAACAGACCCGAATAAGGCCGGTAGTCTGGAAAAAACTTGGCTATTGCGATGCACGTACTAACACACAAGATCAGTGTACTTAAGCTCAATATAAGCAAATGGAGAGAGATTGATTACTGAGCCTCCGTCCCTCGAATCAGCACCCAGCATATGTAATATGAACAACACAACACCTATGCCGTTGATATTTAAAATTTTACCACCGATAAAAACAAATAAAATGAGGTGACTGGACCACAAAAAAACCTGATGTCTAAAGTAGTGTGACTATATTGATATGATTATGAGCCATTATGAGCCGTAACTCAATCCAGAAACCGCTGTCATTTTACGGCCCACTATATGTGAGGTTTCATCATCATACTTTTTAATATGTCTCCAAGGTCGGTACATCATAGGAGGTCAGTTTCAGCTCTCTTCGCCGCGCGCTGGCGGGACCTAAAGAAGTTCATCGTTATCGGGTAACCCCTCAGTTCAGCACGGAATAATGATTCCATTAATTTGGAAGGTGTAGACAAGGGTGCCACCGGTCCACACTTCGGGATTCTTCGCTAACCCTTCTCGAAGATCAGGGTCATGCGGCCCAATTTCTAAGGACCGGGTACCTTCCCTTGAACCTGGGAATCCTTAAATATCTCACATAAAGGTCCAGCCGAGACTGATGCTCCCTCCCACAGTAACGCTGCATGGATTTTATTTGGTCCCGGAGAGATGTCTTTTGTAAACACTGACATTTCGCGCTTTGCCAGCTCGACGCCTACGTCAACAACCGAGGATCCTACTCCGTTGACGGGAGATTTGTAAGGCATTAAGTAGGCGGACAATCCTCATCTGATTTGGAAATACTGACCGGCTGGGGGTCCAGCTCCTTCACTGTCGCTACTATTCAGTTCGTCGGCACCTAGTAGTTGAGTTACTCCCCTTCAGCCCACCGGGCCGGAGTGTTCACTCTTCTAAAGTTCCGACGGTGCTGACCGAAAGGTCTGGTCGGATTTGTTTTGCACGCACACTGGAAGCTGGTAACAACTTGTCCACTCCTGCCGGGAAGAAGGATTACTAGGTCGTCAATCAACAAAGATGCAGTATGAGCGGGATGGGAGTTGAGTCTTCCTGGACCGCGCAGCCGTTCCCACATTTTACGTAATCTCCAGTTCCGCCGTCAGGCCGAATGATCGGCGTTCAGCGAAATCGTCACCCCCGCCTAGTTGTGACCTTTGATTAGCTGAAGCCTCTTACGATTAAAATGTCTGTGCTCCAAGCTGGAGAGCATCTGATTGTCTCTAACATTTGACCATAATACTGCAGATGGCCTTCTACAAACGACTTCCGCTAAGTTCTCCATAGTCTTGGATAAATTTACGGAACACGGGGTGGACTTCTGGAGGCATTCGAAGTCTTGAATGTGGGTTTGGCAGGACATGAAAGAAGAGCTAACGTAAGGTTTTACTCCATCCTCCTCACCAACCCTCCCGTCGTTGTGAAGGATAGTAGTGTTAGAGACTGCCAGCTCTTGATTTGACGTGTCAGTAGAAGTCCAGGGCTCATCAACACCTCAGTATCCTGATTTGGTTTCCGCAGTTCATCGAGTTTATGCAGCAAACTTTATTCGTTTAAGTATGTGACCGATGCTATCCACTCGAAACGCACTTCGTAGCCTCTTTTGTTGTCTCACTGGCTGGTTAAAGCCTCAGGTATCGCGGGTAGAAACCAGCTAAAGTGAGCTTCACCAATG